CAAAATAAATAAACCCCTGAAACCTAAAAATCACACTTATTTGAAGCACAGCCATTGCTTCTTCAACTCATTCACATTGCTATGCTACTGAAAACATTACATTCTAGTTCTTCAGGACTCATCAGTAAATGACAACCCAGCAGCAATCCCACAGCAACCAGCACAACCCTATCTATGCTGGGAAGCTCTCTCACATTTTATGGGATGACTCCTACTACTCTGTACCTCAGAACACAGCACATTGAAATGCTTCCTAATGACAACATTTTTCTGCAAAGTCCTGAAAGGCTGAGACATTAACCACTACAGAAAAATTCTCTACAGAGCTGGAATTTTAAGTACAAAGGAACACACGTACATCGCTGAATTTGGGAGTTGTTCTTGCAACTAAAACAACTCTACATAAGAACAATCAAAAAGTGTTTAAATTTTGATTTTAAGCTATATCTTAATAAATGAGCACCTCAATAAACATTTTTTCAGTTTTGTTTTAAATTTTAGCCTAACAATTGCTAAAAAATGCCCTTGGACTAATTAACACTGGCTTATAAATTACTTACAGTATTAGTGCTTTTGACAATGCAGTGACTATCTACAAAGTAAGTATTACTAAAACTGTTCTGAGATAGTACACAAAAAAACCGTGATCACCACTTGAGTAGAGCAGTAAGAATTATTTTAGTGCAGTATTTATTGTGCTTTAGTAACTGTGATGTGAATAATTGCATGTTTTTCCCATCTCATTCATTAATTGCCTTATCTACTTCTACTTCCAGGAATTTTACTTAGAGAACAGCAATTCAAGGAGGCAAATGATAAAAGTATGTCTCCACTTGTGCAATTGTTAGCTGTCCTCCAAGTCACAGGCTGGAACACAGCCAGTATATATGACTTTCTCCAAAATAGATATAAAGATCCCTAAGGAAAACAGATGATGTCAGAGTTCATGAGCTCATTAAACAGCATTCAGATAGAACCCAAACCTTAAAGATCACTGTCTACACTCTGTACTCCTTATGGAAACCAGAGCCATGAGGGGAAAAAAAAAAAAAATCTCCAACTACTGATGTAGCATCAGTTTCCTCCAAGACTAGCAGCACAATAGTTTTGGTAAAATCCCAGCCCTCCCAAGGAATGCAGTAGCAAAGTTCACAGGTATATACCATGGAGTCCTAGCTGGATTCACAATGCTGCCAGCATCCAGAAACCCTACATGACAACTCATCAACCTCCTCTGGCAAAACCTGAGGCTGAGGTTTCACATTCTGGGGCAATTGCGTCACTTTTTTTCTGCTAGCTTATTTTTCAGTTGGATCAGTTCCCCACACAGCTGCACGTTCAGCTGTGCCAGCACAAAGCAGAGAGCAGCAACAGGGAGATGGGGGTGCCACTAAAGACACGCCCAGGGAACAACGGGTTTGGAAACCTCTGAAACAATCACACAGCTGAGGAACAGCTGCCTCATCGGGAAAAAAAAGAAAAAAAAAAAAGAAAAAAAAAGGAGGAAGACATCAGATTTAAGTTAAGAAAATGCTACTGAGGAAACAGAATAGTTTTGACCGGGAGGAGCAAACGTTCTCATTTTGGGAAATCCCGAAGCCAAATTCTGACCAGTAATGATCAAGATGACGAAAGCTGGGCACAGAAACCACTTTGAACATACTTGCTAAGCTGAATCAGTCTGCCTTGGTTACAATCATCTGCATACAAACCAGTGGCTCAGAGTATTCAAAATGTGAAAAAAGGTTGATACCTTGCCTAGGACCTTCTCCTAACAGTAGCAGAGGGCAATTAACAGACAACTCCATTTCATGGCTGCAGAGAAAACCCTTTAGCTAACAACAGCAATTCAAACATACTGCATTTTGGGAAAACTACAAGCTGCAGACCAGCTGCTGCTATTTTAAAGGCTAGGAAAAAACACTCTGATACTCTCACCTCAGATATAACACAGAGAAGAACAAAACTCATCCAATAATTTCTGATGTAAACTCACAACTTTTATTAGAGACAAGTATTTCTTTTTTATGAAAAAAAAGAAAAACCCCACATATTAAATCTGGACTTCAGTGGCTACACATCACAGAAAACATAATGCACTTCCAAGAGAGATTACTACAACATTTAATAGATTTCATTTAAAAAATAAGCATGCTAGGAGTATTTAGACTGCAGCAAGGCATCGCCGTCAACGTACTCCACATTCAAACATAGCCTGCCCCTAACTGATACCCCCTGCATACACGCAGCAAGGGCAGCATTTGCCTGGTTAGTGCCAATAATGACCTGCAGTAACCTGACATGAATCCTTCCCAAGGTCCCTCTTTTCTGGGGTACGAGTCCTAATTCTTATAAAGAAATGATGTACAGTCTTGTTTGCTGCATTTATAAGAACGTATCAGCTACATGAACATTCTAACACACAACAAATACACCCAAATGAATGATCCATGTTTGTCAACCTATTTGTGAAAAAATGAGACAGATGAAAACAGAAGAAACCATACACATGAAACCTAACGGATCTCTATCAACCGCTGATCGCTTCATCTTGATCACTGATCATGCTTCTGCAATCAACTAACAATTTTGTTCTGCTTTGCACAAACTATATATATATTGCAAGCGTTTTTAAACAAACACCGCTCCCACATCTGCATTTAATAAAGATACACCTTTCTATATTACATACAAAGGTGTACACATTTATTAAAGATATTTCATTAATTAAATAATAGGCTTCCAAGGAAAAGTTGTGCAGCACAGTCATGCTGCTATCTTGTGATATTTTATTAATTACATCCGATTTATTAAACACATCAACTTCTATACAACTTTGTCCAAGACTAACTTCAGCGGAAAAAGATTTACACTTCTGAAGATCATCCTGCCAGCATTTTACACTTCTGGAACTTCAGGACTTAAAAATTGGATAAAATATACATTAGTGAGATCAAAATATTTCTAAACTCCCTTTACCTTTCAGTTCCCAAGCACTTGAAATTTAACTATAATTGCAATTAGAATGTATGATAACTAAAAGTAACAGAATTTATAGAATGGAATAAAATTTATTTTTGCTTTAAATAAATGCACCAACATTCTACTTCTTTCAAGTAACAGTAGTAAATTGATTATAGAACACTTATATCTTTTGGCATTGTGCGTAATACTTTTACTGTCTTTGGTACTGGAGTTCAATGACTGTTGTGAACAAGAACATGTGTCCCTCACTTAATAAAAAACCCCTTTAACTTCCCTTTTCCTATGAATTAAAATTCCTCCAGTATTATTTTCACTACTACCCCATTTCTTTGAAGATACAGGTACACCTGATTTTTTTTATATACTTCATTACTAACAAAAAGTTTGTTCACTTCTTGAGACTTCTTTCATGATTGAGATGTGACTTTAAACAGGCATCTAAGAAAATACTAAGTATTTTAATTCAGGTTTTTAAAGCCTAAGTGTTTCTTCCCACACAGTTCTGTTCAAACTTGTTTACAGTTGTGGAGAACTGGTATTTTCAACCATTTGTATTTTTATGCTTGTTCTTAAAACTATATACACAGTACAAAGCAACTCTCCATCGGTAAACCTCGCCTCTGATCCATAGCAACGTCTGGTCCTGTCACTCTTAACTGTTATCAACTTAACAGCAGAGTTAATACAGTTCAGCCCACAACCCTGCACTGCCTTTGCTAAGTAAAATATATCCAATAAGCCACACTTCCCTCACATCATACCAAGTTCTATTAGGCTAATCAGAAACAACAGTGTAAATTGTTTGCAGAGAGGGTGGTTGAATTTTCTTCAAAAAATGAAATAAAACAAAACCATGCCAGCATATTGCCACGTTTTCTTCAGGTTTTCCCATGTCTCCGGAATTAGAAACACCAGTGGTCACATTACACCACTTGGATGGGCTGTAGGTACAAATTGTCAGTACTCGGGTCTTAAGCTCCCCATATATTCAACAGAGACAGATGCCTCAATCACTCCAAGCCTTCTGAATTGACATAATCAATTTGGGTACTGCAAGTTCCTCCCTAGTAATATCAAATCTGAACTTGTGTCACCTAAAAAATGAAGGTGAGGTGGGTTTCCAGGAGCCCTAACTCACACTGTTTCACGTTAGACAGAGTGAACAAGTGGACACATAGACACACTGTTATAAAATGTTCCACAGCTAGCCTGAACCTAGCTTTTGAACTACCATCAGTTATAATTAATTTCCCTATTTTTACGCACCAAGGTAACTGTAAACCTGACACCCAGTGTGACACGAAGCGAACAGTCAGCAACACAGCAAAGTATCTTTGGGAATCCACATCGCTACCAAAAAAGCACTCTGCTGACCCACAAGCAACAAAGCACAAGTCTACATAAGGTTCTATGTTCACTGGCTGCAATAACAGCAAAAGACATCAAAATAATTTAAAAGATTGATGAAGCAGAGTCGTAAAGCCCCCATGCACACATAGCCCTCCCCCTGCAAGCCTCTACACCCATTCTTCCACCCAGTATTTACAACAGAACTTGAAACACTCTTAACTGCAGACTTTTGCTTTACCACTTTCAGCCTAGCCTTACCTGTTGAGGTTGTGGACATACATGAAACCACTAAGGCTCTTGTCCTATGCACCTGTGTCTCCCACCCCTCATTAGGAAACCTTCAGAGGCATGGGTTCAACTGTTTGTACAGTCATGTAATAACGAACCAGAAAAATGAAGCAGGCAGTGTGGTACTACTGTATAAACTAAATAAACTTCATATTCGTACCTGAACCAGTAGTGTTTTGGTTTGGGTAAAAAGAACAAGAAGTTAGAATACAACTGTTCTCGTAAAGACATCATCAGTCTTACTCTGTTATGGGCTTTGAAATACAGTACAAACCGAGAAAACAGTCACTTATCCAAATGTTTTTCAGTCTATTGTGTCACCTCTATCAAATGACAATCCCCCAATGACATTTATCAGAAGTACTAAAAAACCTTACCTTTTGGATAATCTTCCAATAAGAGGTTGAAGTGACCTAACTGACAAAAGAAATCAGACTCGACCTTTCCTTCAGCTTTCAAAATTAGCGATTCATAGCAGCGAACAGCCTGGGAAAAAGAAATACAAGGTTTTCAAAATGCTGTATTTAACTAAGGCAAATAATACATTTTCTGTACACTTTCTGAGAAATAAAGTTTTTTGTTACTCTTCAAGGCAAGAAGTTTACACTCTCAGTAACTTGTAGTCAGCATTACTTTTCAAAGAAGAAATATAATAATTAAGACAGAACAGATAGGAAGTTCACCAATTCTAATGCAAATTGATAGCAAATTAACAGTAAAACTTTTCTCTGGTTTATCTGTGGACTCCAGAAACATTTGATTTCCCAAACACAAAACAAAGCTCTAACATACATGACAATTCCTAACTTTAAAACAAACGAACAAAAAACCCAACAATGCAATACACAAATATTGCTTTTATTTATTCTTTCCAATGTACAAGAAAGAAACCTCTCTGATTTTATTCTCATTCTGTGTTTGTTTTTTCTAAAGGATTCACATTTCATTCTACTGGCTGTTTCACTGGTTTTTGCTAAACTGAAGAATATGCTACCTCAAGATGCTTGCTTAGGCAGTTTTTATACCTTAGCATATTTCCCAAGATCTGATTCTTTTCACATATCTCCATCACGTCATAAAATCCAGTTTACTACCTCCTACTTACTACACAGTTACTGTAGACTAAGCAAAGCTAAAGTTAGAAACATGAATCCTATTAGACAAGACTGACTTTGACAAAAGTTGCCCTAGAAGTTTTTAAGCAGCACACACAATCAAAGCACGTTTTGTGCCGCAAACACGCATTTTTATAAACTGAACTGATACCTTCTGTTCACCATAATGGTCACAATCTTTAACCTGTTATATTCTTATCTCATGATCCTATTTATACTTTGGGAATGAATGAATGAATAGTAAGTAAATTGGTTTCCCAACTTTTTGGACTTCCAGTTTCTTGACTTTGAACATACTAGCCATTAAAATGAAGTAGCTGAATAAACTTAAATGGGAGGGAAGGTCCTTTGCACCAGACTTTTGGGACAGTTCTCAAAAACTTGACAGACTTCCAACAAATTCTAATTCCAGCTGGTTAATCCATGACTTTCACCAACTCATGGTTTAACTATGTTTCAAATTTGGTTGTAACTGCTTGATTTTAATATATTACAGTAATCAAAGACCTTAATACTTAATCTGAAATTATGAGCTTCATTAAGTCATTTTATTAAAACTGGTAATTCAAAAGGGGGGGGGGGGAATCAATCTATCCTGTAATACTTAAGTCCAAATACTAAATTAGTGGTCTTGCCCATTTTTGTGATTTACTCTGTGTACACTTGTATTAAGCATTAAAATGAGAAATGCCATCAATAAAATGAGGAAATGTTAAGAAACAGTTAAAAAACACCTGTGGAGAATCCAAATTACCGATCTAATCTGTATTTTAATTTGACATTTTTACCTTGCTATGCTAGTTTTAAAATTATTTTCTGAAATGGTAAGCCATAACAAGATAGGCCTTGCTATACTCAATGCACACAAAGCCATATACGTGACCAGACGAGCAGGTCTCAGTTTGTATCCCAAGCTTGAGATGTATTACATATATGTTCACCTACTTCCAAGTTCAGAATAGCCTTATTTTATGGTTGTTTTCAGAAATAAAGTTCTGATGGATAAGAACAAAGCTATGCTGCTGTGAAACTGCAGCAAAATGGGCATCATCTATATTACATCTACTAGGTACGTAGGTGATATTAAAACGATTTAATAAAACCATTTAAATTAGTATTTCAAACTGTAGCTGTTTGGCCACATTCTGAAGATGTTAAACTGAAACATGTATTTGCCTCTACATCAAAGAACTGCTGCGGAATTGCCCATTCATGCTGTGAGTTTTGCCTTAGCAAACTGCACTGGAAGGACTGGAATTCTGTTGACAGTTAATCAAAGCTACTACTCCTTTAGTTTTATTCCCACCACTATGAATACCTCTTGGAGTCAGCCAGCTCTCCATCTAAAGAATATGATCCCTGGAATCAGAAGCGAAGCACACAAGCGCAAAGTGAGTTTCTTAAAATTACAACATGTGTGAACCAATTCTGGACATTCAGGCTCACCTACTGAACCTATTCTAATTGCAAATGTTTTAATGCAGAATCTTCAGGGGTTTGTGCCTTCCTTCCTCTCCCCACTTTTGGTCTCATCTCTGGATTTGTACAAATAATAACACAATTCTTGCTGGTGTCCCTAGTGCTACTGCCACAGATTGATTTGCAGATAGGCCTTCCATTTTCTCATGACATGCAATATCTGCTGCAGCTGCTGAAGAGAATATCCACACTATGACATTTTCTTAAATTAATATTTTGTCTTCTACAATTCAAGTCACTGTTCAGAGCATACAGAAAGCGCTGCCACAACAAGTAGCTTACAAAAAACTGTTGGAGACGAAGTTAGGGTAGTATATTTCCTTAATTAGATGGCTACAGGTATTTAAAGGAAACTTGACTTTATGAACAAATGTAACGTAACAAGATTTTTCTATACAGGATGTTCAAGGAAATTATATATCACATGCACGTAAACAGCTAAGCATTCAGGGACCTTTAACATTTCCCCAGACCCTTTTAAAGTAAATCCTCATTAAAAGATGAATCACAAGTATCCGAAGCACTACGTATAAGTAACAATACAACAAGCTGTGCCCAAGTCTTTCACACAACTCAGATCAATTCTCAACAAGGCAGATTTTTCCCTTTGCCTTAGAATACACTTCAAAGACACCACTAAGCCATCTTACTAACGGCAGCACAAGGCGAGGGGTAGGACACCAGAGCTGCAAAATAGAACTTCCCCTTTAAGTAACAGTTAACTTACAGTTAACTGTAAATTAACTGTTACTGTAAGAGCAATTCAACTATACCATTAAGTACACCCTCTCAGTTAATCTCTGACCTACTTGCAACATTATCAGGAGAACAGCTGTATTTATGCAAACTTAAAATGCAAACGTTGTTTCATATGAATTTTTAAAATTCTTCCAGCACATTCTAACAAAATGAAACAGAAACTAAGAGCAAGCTTTACTTCCTCGGCAGGAGCGCCAAAGTCAGCCTCCAAGCCTCTGGAGGATGAGCAGACTGGTCAGTACGTGGCTCTTCTTCCTCCTAGTAGCCAGAGCAGATTCATCTAGACAAACTGGTTTATCCAACTTTGGTTTTGGTCAAGAAACTTTCCCCCCCATCAAACCCCTCCACACACATCTTCAGAAAGGAAGAAGCATTTTTCTGCACAGGTAAGAATTTGTCTCTTAGCTGAATGAACAGATTTTGAAGAGGGAGGTCACAACGACACGTGTCTGTATATGGTTTCTTTGAAGGAATAATCAAGATACCATTGCAGTGGACTGTAAAGACCATCTATGGCACCACTTGTGCAACCAATATAAATCATCCCGAGACACAAAAAAATCTAAGGAAGTTAAAAACCCCTCAGGTTTTTAAGTATTGTTATTTCTCCACATTGTATGGATTTATAAGCGCACTCAATGGAGCCAGCCTTGAGAATTGCTAGTATTGACAAATTAACAAGAAAGAGAAAGACTTTGAAATGAAAAGGAAGATTGCTACACAGCGCTGTACACTTCCTTCCCTTTGTTCAAGACTGCATGAAGATAAAAGGGAAACCTGAAGAATTTAGGAACTTGGCAAAATAATCACCCGCAGCTGCTTCACAGTGTGGCAACCAGAGCAGCAGCAGGAAGCAAATACAGGAATGGTTGCAGGAAAAGAAACTGGTTTATATAATAGAAAAAAAAAACCCAATGCACATGTTGTTTCCCACCTGCTTGATTAAAAGCAAACTAAAGTAATGCACTATTGTCAACATTTCTGACATGACAGTTGTGAACCCCCTCTCTTATGACATCATAGTTCACGATTGGGGGCATTATCAATTTCACAAATTCAACCACCAATTCTTAGGATACATTTAAATACAATACAGTGAAGAATAAAAAGGCTTAGTGTATTTGTCAACTTGGAAAAAGCTACCAAAACATTCATATGTGTTCACAAAAGGAAAATAAATAATTCTATTATCATCTTTAAAATATACTACCGAAAGGGAAAGGAACTGGAATATTTTTTCGCCTCTGCTGTGAGAAGAACATTCCCCCCTCCCCACTCTGAAAAAACAACCCCATAAAGCAAACGCCAGTTTTGGCTATTACTAACATGTCTTTTCATGAAAAGAGACCCTAGAGTTGGGTATATATAACCAAAAAAACCCCCAATCCAACAGATAAAACCAGAATTCTAAATATTGTATACAGAGGTCACTGATACATAATACAGCTCTACTTCATAAAGGAGAAGGAAGGATGATGTTATTTCTACTTCAACTAATATGAAGAAAAAAAACTTCACCATCGCTACTGGTTGCAATTATTTGCATTTTACAGCATGAATTCCAATTACTGTTAAACAACTGTACTAAAAAGAAAAAAATCAATACAGCTTTTTTGAATAGTTTCTAAAGATGATATAATGAAGTCCTTTCTTACTCATGACAAGCATGATTGATTAAGATGAAAGTAATGGGACTAAATGGCCAAACATGACAAAATGTTGATTATTAATTCTTTAATATATTAACAATATGAAAACAGAGGAGCAAATGCACTGAGTCTGCAAATTTTTACTTAAAACATAGAAAAAACACTGACAACTACAGAAAAAAAAATCAAAAAACTACCAATAGAAATTGTTAGCATGGCAACAGCTGGGCAGCAATGCACAGTGAAAGAAATTATCTGAATTTTACTTGGTAATAAATTAACTGTTCAAGAAATAGATAGTGTTTTAATGCAGACAACATACTGTAAAATGACAAATTCAAAGCCTTGAGATGCTCCTAGAAGCTTAAAGTTCATAACAGAAATCACTACTGTGTATGCAGATACGCCTTCCATCAGAAGTAGGGAAGACAACCAGTTCCTGTTTCTTTTTTCTTGTTTCTCTAGAAAGCAATAACCTGAA